TGAAATGTTAAATCTACGACCACTTTAATCTGCCTTTGATTTAGTTTCAATGCATTTAAATAAAGTTTGTTTTTTTAAGTTTTTCATGATTCTCTCTATTTAATTGACTCCTTCAAACTCCTTTAGTGTGACACAAAAACCTCTAGCTTTATGTAAAAAAATAAGACCGGCTTTACTCACAGTAATTACAATCATAGCTATGAAGGTAATTAGACTTAGCTAATTCAACAACATTGCCAGCTTCCGAGCAGCAAATATTTTTGACTAGATATCATTTAGATGTAGAGTAAAGTAAAACAGTAGAGGGCGCACATTAACAAAACACTATCATAATTAGTGCTGTGAGAAGATGGCAAAATTCCAAAAGGAAAATCATAGCTGGTGCAGGACTGGTGTAAATGGCAGAGGAACCACATGACTGGTTGGAAACTTCCATTTTAAATTATTAAATGCTGAAACTGAAGAAGGTCGTACAGTACAAGGGTGGTCAGTGGAGCTGCCTTACAACAAGAATATCATTGGTTTGAGCACTGGTGGAAATTGATTGGTTGGCGTTTACATGTTCTGGTTTCCAAAGAACCAAGACAGGAATGATTGTACAGTAACTGTTGTTACTGTTACTGTAACTGTTCACTGAAGCCTGATTGGCTGTTGCCTCCACACTTGGCCCTGCGATATATACTGGTGACGTGTCCAGGATGTACCCATGACCTCGCCAAATAACTACTGCAAACATCACCAGCTCCCTCCACCACTGGGAATGTATTAATAAATGATACTAAAATATGATAAAAAATACTTCTGAGACAGAGTCACTCTTCAGAATGTGAATCACACTGACTGCTGCAGCGCGAACAACTCAGCAAACCAGCAGTATTGGAGAAACGCTGCGATGCTTCAACTCCATGCCATCATTAATAAAACTGCTGCACTACTGACAATACTGATAATCACCCACGGCTTATGAACTACATATGTACAATGTTCAAGGACATTACATGGGATTTGTGGAACTAATTGTTGGAACATGTGAGTCTGTTATTTGTAGGGATAATATAATATAATATAATATAATAAAAAATAATCAAACCTCTGGCCCTGGGGCCAGTTCAGGGCCGGGAACCCCCAATATCCGAGACCCAACTTCATTCTTAAACTATTGGATAACATAATATTCAATGTGCAATACAATACTGTACAAACATATATCTCTTTACTTAATTCTTAATTTTAAATCTTTTGCACCTTACATTGGCCAATAGACCCGTTTGTAGTACTACTGCAAAGTACAGGTACCTCTAATGGCCATAAGGTTTATCTTTATGTTTATCTTTATTATCATAGTACAATATATCCTATCGTATTGTATCGTATCATGTCGTAGCAATATTTTGTTATGTTGTGATATTTCTGTTTAAATGCCTTGCCTTCAATAACACTCTCCTCTGGATTGATTTGATTTCAGATGTTATACAGAATACACAGGTCCAAATTATATTATGGTATAATTAGAACAAATAATTCACAGCACACCCGACCAGGTGAATCATATTTTTTTTTCATGAATTTATAGGCACTTTTATCCCAGAGATAATAGTTTTATGGGCTATTTTCTTTTATCACCGTTTAGTCCAGCAGGCTTTCACTGTGTCAGGATGCACTGCATTACATCCTGCAGAGTAAAATCACGACAGCACATGATTTGCTGCTCTGCATAGTCTTTAACCTCCAGTAAACTTTGTCCTCTCACCCTTGTGAAGAAGGTGATTTATATTTTATATGAAGTGAAAATCAGCAAAACTCACACAGAGATGCTTCGACACCAGAGTGTGTTCCCAAAGGTAGGAAGTATTCCCATCATCCTGAGGGAGTACGTCGTTAAATTTGGAGTTGCTGTCAAACTGATCACATTTCCTATTGTGATTAATCTCAGGGTAGCTGTGGATCAATCACGATTAATCGAGTCAAATGTACATCCATAAATATATTTCTGTATACTGAGTCAGTTTGTCAGTCGTAGACTTACTCACAGACTCAGTGAGGCTGAGGTCTGGTCTCTACAAAGACATGCCGTACTTTGAGATGGTATTTTAAGCTCGAGGTGTTTCGTGAAAAGAAAACATTTTCCGATGTGTGTATAACAAACAACCAGCAACAACATGTTGATGGTTGATGGAATCATAAACAGAGTGCACGTTCTTCTGCCAATGTATTCAAATTTGTTAAGATGTTATTAATTATACAAATTAATTATCTTGTGCTAACACATTAATTCTGTCAGTGTTACTTCATATAAATAATATCTAACGAACACCTGGGTTTGTTTATATAAAGATGTAAAAAACAATATTAAAGTAAACACAGTGATAAAACTGTCATTATTGATGTTGATCCCACAAAAAGTAATTTTCCATTTAAGTCCACTGGGAAAACAAAATTAATCTTATCACAAAAAGGGCAGCAGGAAGCACAAAAGTGATCGCGCAAGACACACACATCCAGAGTTTACCAGAGCTATTTGATGTTGACACCACCAAACGATAAAAAGCGCAGCTCGGATAAGCTGACACTAATCTTCAGTCATCTTTTTCACATGCAATAAATTTCATCAGTCTGCCACAGTGAGCTGAAGGGCAGGAGTGAAATGAGGACACAGCCGCAGCCGTAGTTGCGCTATATTCCCGCCGCCCTCTTCATCAGCATGTCTATCATGACTGACTGACTGCATCAATGCCTCCATAAACACTTTGCAGAAGTGCATCAGCCAGGAACTCCCAGCAGTGCCGTGAGTCTTCGTCCCATAAAAACGCCTCTGATAATGAGCTGTCTGCGCTATTTAAACCAATCTGACAAATCTCCTCGAAACTAATTGAAACCGTATACATTAGGGCAACATTTTACTCCCGGTGAATAAGGTGTGACCTTGGTTTTGATGGGTTCATCCCAAAGATCCTCACCACGTACGAGGCGCTTTCCAGCGGCGTGAATGAAATATTTAAATGGCCGCAGAAATGAGCGGATGATCAAAACATTTGGAGAAGCACACTTGATGTCATTTTCAGAAGCAGCAATCAAAGCAGTGAAGGCAGCAGTCAAAACTTGCCACTTTCATTTAGCCATGCCTCCCTGCCCCTGAAGAGCTTAGCTAGTAACCCGGCAATTCTTCATCAATTTCCACCTACACCCGTGATGTTCCCCAGCAAGGTCTTTTAATCGTGAAATGCCGGCGGCATTTTTTTGAGTTAAGAGAGAAGGAAAAGAACATAAGAAGTAAACACTTAAAAAAAAAGATTTTTAACCTTGTTGCTGAATGAAGAGAATTTGATTTATTTGAATGTACTTTTGTGTAGCTGATCAAATTAACAAGTCACAGAAACAGTTTCTGCTGTTTAGGGATGTGTTTGTGTCCTGTCTTTTTTTTAGACGGTGCCTTAACTCAGTGTATCACTTAATGGATAATTGGACCAAAAACCAAAGAGTAAATTCACATTACTGTAGAGTCCACTGGGGAGTCAAGTGACGTGGACTGGTGTCCCTGTCACTGTCGGTTTGCTTTTTTTGACAGCAGCGCTAATATCCCAGCAGCTTTTCAACAGCCATATTTGTCCTCTGCTGAGTGAGGCCAGTCGCTGACACCAGCTTTGTCAAAAGCTACTTGCCAAGGTGCATTAGCAGAGCAGCGGAGTGAAAACAGCGGAGCACAAGTCATCCATCTTCACATGTAAAGATGAGAGTGCAAGTTGAAAAAAAAATGGTGACATTATTACTGTGGTCTTTATTATTCGCAGTAAATCACTGTGATTACCCGTGGCAAAACAAAGCTAATAAGGACGACCTTCTGCACCAACAAGAGAAGGATTTGTTCTGTGTTGATTCCAATGCTGTAATCACATCAGAGCAATTTCTTTGTTTCCTTCTTTCAACTCCAAAACTAATATTTTATTGAAACCTATGCTGTGGAAATATCAACAGAATATAATGGAGGTTAACAATGTATAACACATATAAATGAAACGAAGAACAATGTATAACACATATAAATGAAACAGATCCTTACAGGACAGTAAATGCACCTTGTATTGTTTTCAGAGGCACGGCGTCACCATCAAAAAAAAAAAAAATCTGAATTTTTATTCTGTATTTTATTTTATATTCATATGTCATCTTTATTTTATATTTTTATTGAACTGATTTAACTTGGATATTTTAAGGTCTATATTTTTCTGTCAGCTCAAGCAAAATTTGTAGGAAATATATATATAAATATATATACACATAAATATATGTATGCATATTATATCTGCATGTATATTTGTATTACAAAACAAGAAGAAAACTATAGGTATTTCTTATACATATATTAAGAAACATGTTTATATATATATTTCCATATACAGTGTACAGTATTTGCTTTTTCAGATCCCAGGGTATAAAGTCCGACATTGTCTGATGATACTTGCCTTTGTCACATTAAGCCTCCAAATCACAGACCTCATAAGGATTTAATGACCCGAGTAAATGCTTAATGGCTCCTTAACTTTTTACTTAAATTGAGCTGCCTCGCTGTTTTAATGTATTTGTAAGCAACGAGGAAAAAAAAAAGGCACTCACTGTACGACGGCGTTAACGATGTTTTTTTGAGTTGCGAGCCTTATCCTTTACAACGTGTGCATTCAGTCTTTGAATCCAATTTTAATTTTCAACAGTTGGCAAACTACGTAAATCAGACCGCTCTCCGCTACTGAGGGCTGTCAGACATAAACAATGGTCAAAAGGCAGATATGACGGCACCACTGATGAGGTTGTCAGAATATATTATAAAAAAAAATATGGAAAGTCAGATTTAACATAACGCCGTGGTGTTATGAAACTTTACCCACTGTTAGATTCACTCTACGACAGAAGGGTGAATCTGACGTCAATGTTGTTGTTGAACACATTTCAATTCCACAGACAAGACACATTTCCCTTGTGAATCAGCTGAGTGCAGCCAGACTGACCTGACCTCCCCTGGATCTTCAGAAACCAACACGTCCGTCTTACAGCTGGCGACAGGGTTGATTGACAGCTCCACCGGTGGCACCACGAAGCTCTTGCTGACTGGAAGCCACAACCCTTGGCCCAGACTGTAGATTGATCTGTGTTGGCAGAACCACAAGATCAGTCAAATCACTGCTGCCTGCTCACATTACAGTAACAGACACTGGTTAAACATTTCATTTCATTTTTTTAGATATTTTTTAGATAGATATTTTAGATTTTTTTAGATATATGAACATGCAAGGACAATATTTGAAAAAAAAAATTTTTCCACTGCTGATGTTGTTTGCAATTGTGTGTAATTCATTCTGTGATGACTGTCATCAATATAAAGTTCATTCAATTTAATGAGAAAAAACGAAACTGAAAAGGTTTTGAGAATAATGACAAGTGCAGGGCACTGTTTGCAGAAAAAATAAAATAAAAGCATAAAAGGTCACGTAAAGGTTGCACAATAGGAACGGAGAGTAATTTAAAAACATTCTTTTATATAATTTGGGCTTCACAAAATTGATTCTCAAGGTGAATACAATGAACTAAAAAATCTTGTTAAATAAAGAGTCGCTATGAGGCATCATTAAAGTTACAAAAAGTGTGGGGTTGATTTTTCATCTCTGATGGTCTCTACAGTCTGATGCTCTGGCATTTGCGTGTTCGCTGTCGACTTTTATTATTCACTTTCCTGTCGTTTGTTTTCGATAGCGTTGGTTCTCCCTGTGAGAAGATTAATATCCGCAGGATGACGGACCGTGGGGGTGCTTACATTTGCTTCTGGGGAAAACAACACCTGGTGTGGCCTTACATTATCGCAGAGACATGTCTGTGCTTTGCATTACATTCTTTTAATGTATCTGAGCAGGTGGGCGACGAAACTGCAAATTACAGGAAATCTATTACTGTGCCTGAATGACTGCGCTGGTCACAAGAAAACGCAACGTATTTCATCACTTTATGCACTTATATATAATTTTTTACGTTCCAAAATCATCTATTTTCTCCCACTCTAATGCTGTCATTGTGCAGCCTGTAAAACACTTAATACCCGAGTCATCCTGTGTTCAGATTACGCCTGTCAAATTTAATCCAACCGTACAGAGTGGAAGCAAACTGCTTTGAAATGAAACTTTACAAATAGGACCTGAGAAGAGTCACATTTGAGACAGCTGTTAACAAGAAGTGGCTGACTGTTATTAACAGCTGTTGAAGGTACGCGTGGTTGGCTAACTACTGCTCTTAGCAACTGTGTGCTGTTGTGTTTAATTTTGCCCAATTTTTCAAACACGAACATTAATATAACATTTCTCAGTCCATTATCATACATTTTAAAAACAAATTAATTATTGAAGGAATACTTTTATTTATATATAATATAAGCTTTATCTAGAAGTACATGTAGTACTGTAGTACCTCACATTACAGATGACAAATGTACTATGAATTACATTATTTCTACCCCATCAACTGTAATGATTTAAATACAACCAACTCTCTATGTATCTGTCCTTTCTGGCATTTCTTTCACAAAAAGTGAGCGCTCGTTCATTTCCATATTAAACGTGTTCGGCAGCAATAACGAACAATGGCCGCTGTCCTTAAAACGAATCCCCGTTATGATGGAGCTTCCCTTTCACTGCCTTTGAACGGACTATCTGTCCAGCTAAAGAGGAACACTGTCTTCTCCACAGTAAATCGTCGGCTATCTCTCACTGTGTGTGTGTGTGTGTGTGTGGTCTCGTCACTTTTCCTCTCCTTCTTCAAATCTGGACAAAGTGCTTTTAAAGGGCAGTAGATTGGGTTTCAACCTCAGTGTGTGCTGATGGCTGCATTAGTCTCATCTCCATCGTGGTCCGTCCAACAGCCTGGTGGACAGCTGAATGATTGATCGTGCTTTGTACGGAACAAATACTGAGGCTTTAGTTCCTTGTTTCTAAAAGTCGTGCTGGGAGGATAACGCTACGACGTTGGCGAGAAGAGGAGGAAAATTACTGCGAGGAGGAATTTTCTCTACTTACAGAATAAAATGATGCCCAGTATAAAATCAGGGATACGTTCCACGGAGTTAGAGCCATGAAAAAAAAAAAAAACTGAATTACCCGCAATATCGAATGCAGATGAATGTGGAAATGACCCATAACCAAAATATTATTTGTTGTAAAGTCGAGACCGTCATAATGGTTTCTGCTGTTTGCTTTCCTCGTAATAACTGTAGTAGTTTTTTTTGGTATGTAGTACAGAATTATTTGACATAAAATCTCAGTTCAGAAGCTATCCTTGTTTTATTGAATGTTTCAAATACCAAAGGTCACAGGTCGCCTCCTTGCCTTGGTTGATAGATGGAAATTAAGTTTTTTCGGGGTTTTTTCAGTTTTTGTGAAATAAAAAAAAACATCAGATGGTGAAAGATCAAAACCTGTTGTGAAGCTACTATACTTCTGACAGACTGCCATTCCGGTTTGATCAGTCATTTGATCATTTTGAGAAATTACGTTGTGTCAAAAACATAACAAAACATACACAGCTCAACACCTAATAAGGATAAAAATATAAAATGTGTCAAACCTGTTAGAGGCACCTCAGAGAATTGACTTTTTTTTAGAAAATAAAATCAGACACCTTTTAAAATTTCAACTTTTTTACGACTCATCCTGTTAACCCATTTTTTCTAATATCTTCCATCCCCGAGGATCTCATTCTGTAAACGATCTAATTATGTTCACACTCAGATAGTGTCAGATAGTATTACCTAATAAATTACCAACTTTTAACCTCAAAACTCATCAGTTTTAACACAACTAAAATAGTATTAAACCATTTACTATAAGTCTGGTCTGGTTTGTTCTTTCTCCACAAAAACAAAAAAAAAATCTGTCTCATATTTTTACTCCAGCCAACTGTGAGTAAATAGAATGTGGAAGGACAGCAAAAGTCAAGTACTCAGGAGAAGTCGACTCACCTGAAGATCTTCTCTGGGGCCTGCTCTCCTGTAACTAGGTCATAGCCTTTTTCCAAGTTAGCATAAGGCCACGGACTTTACATCAGCCCACGGGGAAAAGAGAGAGAGAGAGACAGAGAGAGAGAATTTTAGAACATTACTATCGGAGAACATGTTATATTTAGGATGACAGTGAAATCTAAGTAAAGATGTAGAACAAAAAGTGACCTAATACTTGAGTTCAGAAACTGAACCTTTCATAGAAAGCTGGGATGAGAGAAAGTCTGATTCCATTCATATTTCCATTCCATTCACCATCGTATGTTTACTGGACTCTTGGACAATTCCTGTCCTTTCAAAGCTGTTCTATCTCAAAGACTGTCTGCTGTATCCTCTTCATGTTTTTTTTTTTTTTTTTTTATTTTAATCTTCAAAGTCGACCTCCTCAAGCTACAGGATCATTCAATTACCTTTGAATTTTGTGGGTCATTAACTACGATAATTGCTTATTTTCACATTTCTGGTGATTATTTCTTGGGGCAAAATAATCATGATGGCAGTAGATTGATTTTCCACTCAAGCCCTTATTTCCTGTAATAATCTGAACAGGAAATCTAATAATGCAATGCACCTTTAGTGTACGTGAAGACGTTGGTTTTACAAACTGGTGGGTCGCAGCCCATAGGTGGGTCGCAGTCCATTACTGGTGAAAATGTTGAGAAACTTTTTTTTTCAGACTCCTCAACAGTCGTTTGTTGATTTTTACATCAAGACACACAAACTCTACTAATAAATGCTAAATACACATAGCCCAAATTCAAATACTACAACAGGATTTTTTCTATGTTGGGAACTTTTTTTTTTTTTTGATGGATTGTCAAAGCATGAAGCCTTCAAAACTGGAGTGGCACTTGGAAAAAGAAGCTTATTCTCTCCAAGATAAAAACTGTAGAGAATTTCAGAATATGACTCAGAGACCTGAGGACATCACAGAGGTTTCTTACTCTCATCCTTGCAGCACACTGTGATAACTCATCTCAGGTTTAAAACTGCATCATCTTTTCATTCAATAAATCAGTTGAAAATTCTCCTCGATTTGTGGTTGAGGTTGAGACAATATGGGCTGATGCTGGGAACAACTCAGAGGTCAGTGGAGTGACTAAACTGCAGCAGAGTGTGGAGGTAAATGTACATACCCTTCGTTGCGACCCCAGTCGCTGCGAATACAGAGGTGTGAATGTTCCGGATCAGGGGAGTAACCCTCATGGCAGCTGCATTCTCCTATGACGGAGGGAACAAGAAAAGGCAAAGAGGTGACAGATATAAATTAATCAACGTTATGCTTACAAATTGTCTTGCATCTGACATTGGCCTGAAAACTCACAGGAGACAAATTAAACCAGCCGCTGCCTCGCTTGTTGTCGCCCCGAATAACACCGACAGCAGTCACTTACTTAACTTCTTTATCGTCAAGCTGTCAGGAGAAAATGTCACTGTCTTTGTCCCAGACATGAACTGGACACCCTTCTCATTCATATCCTTCTTTTTCTGGTTGGATCTTTGCACGGCTGTTTTTGTGTGTTTTTTCCCAAGCTCCTCGTATGAAAGAGTGACAGAAAGTTATATGGTAGCACAGCGGCTTAGTTCTGGGTTTTGGAACACAGAGCTGCCAATCAAAAATTCCAAAGTCGCTGTTTACTTTACAGGCTCTGTGTCCCTCTGGCTCACCAGCTGTCTGAGAGCTACAGTACATGAAGAGACTTGTGCTGAGATACATGTTAAAGACAACAGCTTTGACATGACAGCCACGGCGGCGTCAACATGACAGCTATGACCAATCCACCGTCTTAACACTGGCAACAGTCTCCCAGTTTCAGAGGTTTGGCAGCTGAAGCAACGGCAACATTGGCAGCTGCCATTGACAACCACGAAAGACAAGGGGATGGTGAAAGAGTCAGACTATTGTGACAAACAAAGGAAAGACATCTATCTGTCTATCAATCCATCCACCCACCAACCCAGCCATCCATCCATCCATCCATCCATCCATCCATCCATCTATCTATCTATCCATCTGTCTATCTGACAAACTTTATTTGTAGTACAGTTTATCAAATTGAGGCTAATAATGTCTGAGTGAGTGAGTGGGTGAGTGAATGCCTGAGCAATTCAGAGCTTGTGTCTATGTAGGTGAGGGGTGGAGGGGGTTGGGTTGGGTCTTTTAACCTTTTATCTGTACAGCACCTTGTTCTACATTCATTGTATGAGAAGTGCTATATAAATAAGTAAAGTTTAGTTAAAGTTGAACTTATTGATTTACTCTTTTGAAATCAATATCAAACCTTTTGCTGACGATACTTTGTTCTTTTTCCACGCTGCAGGTCTTTGCGTCTCTTTTCTTCTTATTATCTCCAAACTGCTCCACCTTAACTGTCCCTCTGATCTGTTTAGTTCTAATCCTGTCCACCCTGGTCACTCCCACTGAAAATCTCAGCATCTACCTCTCCTTAACCTGCGTCTCTGCCTTCTGTCTGTTAGACCGAGCCACTGTGTCTGATCCATGCATCATAGCAGGTCTCACTGCTGTCCAACTTTGTTCAACTTTGCTATTATTCTTCTGTCAAAGGTAACCACTGACATTTGTCTCCGTCCAATGCACCCTGCCTGAATCCGACTTTTCAAATCTTTTGTTGTTCTTGCTAACACCACCTCTGGTTCCATTTTGGTTTGACGTGAGGTCGATTCCCATATCCAATGAGAAACCAAAAAATCTAGATTTACTAGTTGTTTCTTGTTGAAGAAAAATGTTTAGGTTTACACCTAAACCTAAACACAAACGTTGTATTTCAACACCAACCGAGCACATATAGTACCCCCTGCAGGAGAGGAGTGGAAATAATATGCTCTACACCATCTTAATGTAAGTTTGATTTTCTGTTTGCTTTTACTTTCTATTATAGATTTTTGAGCAAAATAAAGGAATCAGATAAGACGATTTTAATTTGATGAAAAACAATAGAAATTATGTTTTTCATGCAATACAAGTGATTTTCATTCAAATATAATTGAACAACACTTGATTTTAAGAGGATTAATATGTTGAATAGAAAATATATAGACAGATATGCTTCACAGGGTCATGCGTTGTGTGGAGAGCACTGCATATTTAATATTTAATTCATTTTTTAAAGGAAAGGCATTTGTCAAACATTTAATAATTATTCACTCAACATTTCAATTAGCCTTCTGTACGATACGCATTCCACAAATGCTTCTGTTCACTTTTTTTAAAATTTAAAGTGGAAAAAATGAGTGATGAAAGCCGAAAAACGCCATTTGCATTTTATCACCCGCTGGTTAATATTTTATGGAGTGGTGAAGCTCACAGTCTGAGGAATAAATCCTGGACTAATGCACATCAAGGTTTTGGTAAAGATAAAAAAGAAAGAAAAAAACAGACAGGATTTTTTTAGAGGTCATTTGACCTTTCTCCACAGAACACAACAGCTCTCAAACTGACATTTAAATGTAAATACAGTGGAATTTTTTTGCATAAAGATTAAGGAGGGCAGACATTGTCAGCCGGATTTACATTTTCCAAATATTTATGTGAATTTTTCTGCCACTCAGTGTTATATCTGCACCACTTTGAACCAGAGTGGCAGCTATCGATTCGTTTTGTGATCGATCGAACTCGGAATTATTTTTGATTAGATGTTATTTTGAGAATGAAAAAATGGAAAGAACCTTTATTTCAGAACCTGCAGAACCATAAGAATTTTTTTTTAATAAAATTAAAAGTTAGTTAATAAAAGTTAATTTCAAACTTCTCCAACATTTAAGACCTGTCCTGCCTCTAAGTCCTCGTCCATTCTAAGTTTCCGTCAAGTGGTTTGTGGCGATCATGAAGTGAAAAACAACAGCAGAACCAAACTTCAGCTGCAGCAAATTAAATGATACAAAAAAAACTTCTTATTGAACATTTTTTACTTATTATGCGTCAATAATCGATTCATTGTTTCAGCTTTAATTGGCAAGGATTGACAGTGCGTGAACAAACATATGGTCTGACCTCAAAGTCCCTTTACATCAAAATCCAAGTTACACTCTTGACACATCCATCTGTGAGGACTCCCTGTGTGTCTGCTAATTTTCTGCCTCAGCTCTGTTTACCCCATGACTGCTAAAGACTATAATTTGGAGACACTGTCAGTGTCGTCTCCTTGTGCGTAGACATAGAAAACGCCAGTCATGTTTTTGCAAATGTCACTGTCTTTTCATCTCTTTGTGAATGTATCTCTTTTTTGTTCTGCTAAAGGCTAGAATTAGCAATTTCATTAACAGGCTGTTGGGTTGATGTAAAGTGACCACTCTGAAATGTATTTCCGACAATCGAGAGTGGAGATTCGCCGAGTCGACTCCTGTTTTGCTGGTGAAGATGCCTGACTGCACCTCTGATTAATTAAAGAGCGATGGCGGCAGGTTGAATCAAGGACAACACCCACACGACTGACACCAGTGCGTGGCAGAAAGTTTGGACACATACCACAAAAATAGCTAAGTTAAGTTAAGTCTAGAACCAATTACCAGTGGAAGACACGCTGGTGTTCTATCACACCTGGACTAGAATGGCCAAGTCTCATTCTGTACGTGCTGTAAAATTTGAACTTAAACATTCAAACAGGCCAAATATTAACAACCTGATAAACAGTATAAACCCGGGGCCACCGATCTTTTTGAAACTCAGAGCTACCTTAAGGGCACTTAGTAATACGAAGAGCTACTTGTTTGATACGGACTTCCTGAACAATGTAACATATTAAGAGCCTATATAAGTCGCACCAGCCAAAAAAATTCATAACGAAGAACAAAAAAAAAACATTTCTAAGTCACTCTGAAGTATAAGTCACACCAGTGCGTTCTAGCGGCTGTCAGTGTGAAAATAATGAACATGTAAATCATTAGTATTGAATTGAATTGAATTGAATTGAATTGAATTAGTAGTACAGGGGTAGCAGATACTGGTACACAAGCCTAGAGTGCCCTCTAGCAGGTGCCAGTGTGTATAAAAACAAACCTAAAATTATATACTTTAATATATAAGTCGCATAAAATTATTTACTTTAATATATAATTCGCAAACCCAGCCAGAGGATGAAAAAACAAAAAAAGTGTGACTTTTAGTGCGGAAAATGTGGTAATAATAATTAGTTCCGTTTTAGTGCAGAAAATGTGGTAATAATAATTAGTTCCGGGACATACAGTAGTAGACACTTTTCTTACCATCGTCACTGCACCCATTTGAATATCATTGCAAGTGGAACTGATACAAAAAGCACAGTAACAGTAAGATTTTTTGAAACATATGGTTTAATTTTAGTGAAATAATGTCCGATAGTTCAGCTGGACTGGAGTGAAACTACCTGAGGACGCTAGTCCTTGGTGTCACTGGTAAAGTAGTCCACTGAACAGCTGCAGAGCAGAGAAAACCCATTCTTTCTCATATTGGTTCTGATTTTTATGGGAGCCAAATCAGTGGCGCTCCCTGGGGTGAGCTATTGGTGAGCTTCGCTGACTGTGGTGAAACATCCCATGAGGCATTGCAGGACAGCACTGTGTAGGATTTTATGAACCATGCACATTTTTTATATGAGAGGGCCTTCAACCCTGAGCCTCTGAGCCCATTAAAGGGAATGAATAAATGAATCAATGGATTTATTTCAAATATATATATCAACTGTGTGTATGTGTGCATACATATATATATATATATTAATATATATATATATATGAATATATGCATAGATATACTATACGATATATTTGTATGTATTTATGCATACAAATATGTATGTATGCATATATATATGCATATATGCATACATATTTGTGTTATACATATATTCGTACAGTATGTATTTATGCATACATATATACATATATATAAATATGTGTGTGCATACATATATACATATATAAATATATTTGTGTGCATATATATATATGTATGTATGTATGGCTGTGCACACACACACATATTATGTTCGAGTACATATTCTACAATATGTACTATAATATGTACATATTACTATTATAATATGTAATAAGTACAATTCTTCTTATACCAATAGGTACAAGTAGAATTGAAAATACCATTGGAAGAGCTCACCTGCTGGTATTTTCAGATCATCGATATGAATAAATAAATATTCTCTCTAAGAATTTATTTCCTGGTTCACTTTTGAATTTCATTTCATGAATCAAGTCTCTGTCATGTCACC